GGGGATTCGAACGTTTTATTCTGCATGTAACCATTCAAATGTTAGTTCTATTGTGACCGTCAGTGAATTTTATTATATTGCAGCATACATATCATTTTTTAAAGCACGCATTTTATTATTTTTATAACCTATTAATAATAGAATATACTGACGGACAACAACAGTCATTAAAATTTTAACTTATTGCATAATAATGTGCTTGGAAAGACAGATGCAAGGACGCTTAATAAGCGCAGTTATAAATGAACATGATTTTATCATTAATAATGATTTAAATAATAATATTAATTTTTTGAGACTCCAGCTGTCAATAATAATTTAGTGCCGTTAGCCCTTGGCCTAGCCAAATGACCATTGACCATAACAAGATTTCGTCACCATTACCTGTGTATTTTATTATTTTTTTCTCGACCAATCAAAACAGCCGAAACTGGAGGCGTGTCGTCGTGTCTGCCCCGCAATCGCTGTGTAAACAAGTGGAGTGTAACATTGCCTAGGCTAGACCCAACTCTGCCAGTGGAGTGCAGAGACCACAACCACACACAGAACACATTATTACTTCCTATCTGCACGCCTTATTCGATCTGAAGCCTCCCTTTCTCTCTTTCTGTACGTTGTGTAGCACACAGTTATCAAATTATTTGCTCTCGACTCGACGGTGTTTCTCGAAGATTCAGATAGCCTACAGGACAGGGCGAGAGAGAGAGAGAGAGAGAGAGAGAGAGACCGAGAAATCTTCATTCTGCTGTCAACTTGCAAGGTAAGAAGTTGGTGCGAACGTTGCTAGATCTCAAGATTCAGATTCGCAGTAGCCTACACTACAGTCACAGTCACAGAAGAGACCCATATTACAGATCCGGCATCTGGATGAGGCAAGGATTCTAGATCTAGATTTTCTAATATCTATATCTAGATCTATATAATCTAGATCTAATCTAGATCTAGATCTAGGCCTAGAGATCTATCTCTAGATCAATGGGCTGGTCGTGCTTTTTTGTGACTCTTAAAAATTTAGGCTGAATCTTATCTTATTATCATAATATAGAGTCTATATACTATATATTTAAATTCTCTAGATCTATATATTTCTATATATATATGTCTTATGAGGCTAGCCTTCCCACAAAGACAAGATGATGTCGACTATTGCATCATGGGTCTCTTCTGTGACTGTAGTGTAGGATACTGTGAATCTGAATCTAGAGATCTAGATTAGAGTAATTCTAGCTGTTGTCCAATCCGGTTAGTAAAATTCATGCCATGCGGTTCTCTTGCATTCACCCCCCCCCCCCCCCCCCCCCGTTATGACATTTTCCTTCACGCTTCTTAAGTTAGGCCTAATTTGTAAAATTTTTATATAATATAGGCTTTTACTTTTATAGTCATTTATATACTTTTTAAAAAATTTTAAAACTTGTATATCACTGAAATAATGCAAGAGAGGCCCTTGTAAAAGTAGACTCTTTGATCTTTCCTCACTTTCCTGGGTCTGCAGTTCTGTTTTGACTTCCACTTGTACTATGACTTCCTGCTTTTACTACTACTTGGGGTTAATTTTCTTCCTAGGCATTCATGGGAATTATGGATTTATTTATGTTAAGGTTTTATTTCTTCCAAAAAGACAATCATGTCATTCCTTTTTCTCGCCAAACATACCGGGCCTCACCGCCTTTTCTATTCATTTTTAGTTCATCTCTGTTATCTCTGAAACCTTCAATTCTGAAAAATTTTCCACTCAGGTTCATTAACGTACGAGAGTAATTAAATTTAATGCTTTGCCTTTCAAATGACTTTCTTTGCTCAGTTTTGTTGGACTTTTTATCTCAGTTTGTTTGAACAACGAATTAACATTCTAAAATGATCCCAAAATTCAAGATAAAGCTGGCTAATTAAAAGGTAGCTGTTGTATCTTAAAATGTAGTTTCACTGTTTTTTCTTTTTTTCCTTCTCCTACTATGCTTGATAATAAATATGGAGTGCCCAAATCATGGCTCTGATTTTGGGGCTCTCTTTATGGAGTTAATTTTCTGAAAACTTCCAAGATTGCCTATAGGGGCTTACATGAGATAATTGTGGAATGGCATGGACAAATTGTCTGTGTGTTGTTTAAAACAATAAATATCAAATCCTTGCCGTTGGATCTTTACAGTCACAAATATTGTTAAAAAGCATAATAAGTGTTTAACTAATTTATTATGAAAAATATACTATGGTACCGTATTGAATACTAGGCCTGTATAGAATAGTAACTTAAAGAATTCTTTCCACCCGTGTGTATACATGGTGTAGTAGTTTTATAATAGTGCCTTTGCAGTCATACACAGAACAGAAGATGTTACTGCAGTTCATGTACGTGTGGGAAGGTGTTGTTTTTAAAAAAAATCACTCTATGTATATATAATCCATTTTTCTGCTGGGATGTTGTATCCTTTTCAACCTATAGGCTTGAACAGGCTGATAGTTGAAGCAGCCCATCTCCTGAAAAATGTATTGTATCAATTGAAGCATAAAACATCTCTAACTACAACTTTGCAATTTTAATGCGCCTTTTCTGATTTCGGCCTTTTTATTATAAAATTGTTATCGTTTTTATAAAGTCTTCTCATGAGAACCAAGCAAAGAACCTAAAATTCATTTCTGTTTTATTAAACTTAGATAATATCTTGTTCTGTGGTGGGGCATAGGGAAAGGCTAAAGGAGTGCCCAAATCATGGCTCTGATTTGGGGGCTCTCTTTATGGAGTTCCCCACCATACATATTGAATGTTTAACTTAATACGAAATTATCAGTTGAAACAGTTCCTTTGAACTGAGGAAATCTTATCTTCAGACTCAATTTATCCTCATTTCTGAGCGCCACTCATACTTTGATTCCCTTCCTGCCACTGATTGTGTTTCCATTCTAAATATCGGTGTATTATTTTAAAAAGTAGATTAGATCAATTTTCAACAGAATACAGCTTTTGCTTTAGTGCTGACAATTCAATATATACCACCAGTGACTTTCTGACGAAAGAAATATTTTGATTTTGATTTAAACCTACGTCATAAGACACTACACTGAGCACTAACAAATTTGTGGTTAGCTAGAGGGTCCACTCTCGAGTTACAGTTCAGAGGGCACGGGGCCAAACAAATGTAAAGACTTTTTCTTTAATTTTGAAAACGAAAAAAATACAGCCTCCCTTCTATACCACAAATTGATTGGGCTTCAAATTTTCATTTTTTTTGCTAAGAAAATATTAACTCTTCTGCTGTAAACTGTTATTTCTATTGCTATTTGTCTAATTAGAGGGAATCATGTTTCTGTAGTCTGCTTTTTAGTTTCTCATCTGAAACCCACAATTCTGAGTGCAAGTAAAACACTGACTGCATCTTTTTTTTTTGTAGTTGCACTAACTCGACAGTATATTAATTCCACTTTGAGATCAACGAAAGTTTAGAGATCGTTAGAATTCTCTTGACCGTGGTATAAAAATATGTATCTAATTATGAATCAAACCATGCAATGTGATCCTGTAATTTGATATTAGTGAAATATACTTAACTGTGGAAAATCTACTCGCCAGTGTGTTATATCATGTATGCATTTTGATGAGGGCTGGTATAACTGAGACTGTTCATGTGTGTGCATTCTTGTGTGTAGTAATTGAGTTTACATACAAGTATATATGTTTGTGTTGTTGTAAGTGCCTACTGTGTGAATATGCGGGTGGTTGGAGGGCGTCTCTGGTAGGTCCTTCTTCTTTACCTTGCCTTTTTTGTTTCTGTCTGTCTTACTTTTTCCCAGCACTCAATTACCATTATTGTGTCGACGTGCTTTTCTTTACTCAAACAAAGTTGCGTGTGTATGTGAGTAGTTATGTATGCATTTATGGTACTATTGAGAAAATACACATAAATTTATTATATATATTAAAATTTTTATTGTGTGGGTGGTTGGCAGGTGCTCTGGTGTATGTGGTTTGCTCCTTTTTTCTTATCAAACATCTGTCGTGCTTATCTGTCCTCCTATCCATCCTTCTTTATTGAGTTTGTTATTCTCTTTTAACACCACTAATCTTCTGCACTTATATGACCTTATTGTGCTCCAAATTACCTTGCGGTGTTGAGGGGGAAGCAAACATCTTCCTCTTGTTAGTTGTATCCCCCGTTGTATGGTTATTTATGTCCAATGTTTCTCTGATCCCCTCTATTCGTCTAATCTTTTTCCGGCCTGCCTCTTCCTGTGTTTCCATCTGATCTCTTGTTATATGCTCTCCCTACTACTACTATACTTTCTGGTAGAGGTCCTGACAGATACTCAAACCATAATATTCATTGTTCATCTATGAATTGCAGGCTGTGAGTTGAGCCCACTTGTTGTCTGACAAGCTTGCTTCTCCTCCTGTTTCTTCTTTAAAAAAAGAAAAAGTTCTTATGATATATATCAAAGTTTTTCTTTGGCATTTAATTTCACATACGCATTGATTTTACTTTGGTGGCTCTTGTTTATTGCGCCTATGTTTGGATAAGGTAGCACGGTGTTGGTATGAAGGTACAAGAGAGAGAGAGAGAGAGAGAGAGAGAGAGAGAGAGAGA